AATATGATAAATAAATAAATAAATATAGGCAACAAACAAAAAGATGATGAAACTATAGTTATAGTTATAGTTTGTTATAGTTAGTAATAATGTTCAATCAATACAATAATGAAAAAACTTTAATATTTTACTGAATCAGTCTCATGCTTATATATTCTATATTCTATTTATATATGAATTTTTTCCTATTCGGTTCTGTTTTGGTTGCCGAAGATAGTTCTATGTTATATATTCTATTTTATTCTGTGTTTTTTTTTGTTATTCATATTATTAATCTATGTCGTATTATTGAATACTGCCGAATATCTCATTAGTCATATGTGAATTGATTTGGCTGTTTTTTTGTTTTTTTCATTATGATAATGATGATGATGATGGGGTTGTTCTTTTCTTTTGATTGGAAAATTTTATAATGAAAATAGAGTTTTTTTTGGCAACCAAAAAAGCAAAAACAAAGAAACAGTGAAAAAACAAAAAGCCAAATTTGAATTTGAATAAGGGTGAAAATTGTTATTGTTTTTTTTGTTATCCGTCACATCTTTTCTCTTCTTCTGTTGTTGTTTGTTTGTTAGTTTGTTTTCATTGAATTTTTTTTTCTTTTTTGGCCCAAATGCTAATGATAGTGATCATTAGCATTATCATCATCGTGATGATCATCATTATCATAACAAACATGCTATAGGTGAACCGGATCTATGCATGGCATGCATATTATATTATAAATTTTTTTTTTTTGGTTGTTGAATTGATGTTTCCGGTAACAATGTTAAACTTTGACGTCATTGAATCAACAACAACAACAACAGCAAAAAATGGTACATATTTTTTTTTTTTACTATTAGGATTGGTTCGTTAGTTGGTTAGATTCACAATGTTATTATTATTATGTGATGATGATGATCAATAATGAATTTGTGGCAAACAAATTCTCTATTCTATGATGTTGTGAATTATCGTGTTTGTGTGTGTGTTTTTTTCGTTTGTATGAAAGTAAAGTGAATGTCATTAGATAATGGCATACAAACACATGAAAACCACATTTGTTGTTGTTGTTACCAAAACAAGAGAAAGATATATATCATATGGAATTGATATTGGCCATTTTCTCTCTCTCTCGTATATAGTGAAATGTGTGTAGATGTATATGATATATATTTGGAAATGGATTTTGTTTTGTTTTGCAGGTTGGTTTGAATTTTTTTTTTTTTTTTTTGTTTTTCATCATTATTATTCCTGTAAATGATGAAATTTTCATCATTTGACAGCAGCAGCAAATGGCAAATGAATTTTTCCTTATCAAATCTGAGATTCATTAGAAACTAGTATATTACTGATATAATCTGATCAAATATGATATATATGGATTTTTTTCTCCCATTAATGATTATGGTTTTGGTTTTTTTTGGGCTTTCATTATCATATTAGTTTTTCTGTTCTGTCATGTTCATCATCAAATTTGGATTATTATTGGCTTGAAATTGAAAAAAATAATATATTTCAATGAAACAACAATATTTCGCAATTGAAAATTTGTCGTTGCTTTTTTTTTGCTGGATAATCGAAAAAAATGCCAATCACATACACAGAGAAATACCAGAAATGTATTACCCGAAAAAAATACCGGGAAATAATCGGGAAAGAAAAAAAGAACAATCGTCAATTTTTTGTTGTTGTTGTGGTTGTTGGACATCAATTTTTTTTTGTCCGGTCCATTATCCGGATATATCATATGGTTTCCTTATATAAAAAATGAAAATTTTCTATATGGTTAGCCATTCTGTTGAAATGATTAATGTACGAAAAATTGAATACATTTTCTCTCTCTCTCTCTCTCTCTCTCTCTCTCTCTCTCG